GGGGGGGGGGGGCCCCCAGGGGCCCCCGGGGGCCCCTGTTGGTGGTTGCGACGGGGAATGCAGATGAAACAGTTTTTGGGTACTACACGAAGTATGACTGCAGCAGCGGAGATATAAATCCAATTGGGTCTTTAAATAAACAAAATGTGCGGAAAGTGCTGCAGTGGGCTGCGGAGAAGGAGCCTTTGAAGTGCGGGGTTGTTCGGGTGCGCGAGGGTTTAGGGTTTAGGGTTTGGGGTTAGCGTTCGGCGGGTAGGGTTTGCGGTTTGGGGGTTGGGGTTTAGGGTTTAGGGTTTGGGGTTGGGGAGCTCGTATTTTCGCGGGTTTTTCTCCAAACCCTCGAAGGAGCACTAAAGAGAGAACTAACAAACAAATTAAAACAAAAAGAATGAATAAATAAATAAATAAATTAATTAATTAATTAATTAATTTATAATACATGGATTTAATTGTTTGCGCTGCTGCGGTGCAACAGGAAATTCTGCTGCAGCAGCCCAGCGCGGAGCTGCGGCCGCCGGCAGCAGCAACAGCAGCAGCAGCAGCAGCAGCACAAACTGATGAAGAGGAAATGGGACTTTCTTATGATGAATTATCTCTTTTTAATTTCTTGAGATTTAATCTGCGATGTGGGCCCTTTAGTCTTTTTCTCCAAACCCTCCGACTCGGACAAACCGCAAACCCCGACGCCCTCTACAGGTAAAACCCTAAAACGAGGGTTTAGGGTTTAGGCTTTAGGGTTTAGGGTTTGGGGTCAGGGTTCACGGTTTGTAGGGCTTTGGGGTTTGGGGTTTATAGGGGATTAGGATTTAGGGTTTATGGGGGATTAGAGTTTAGGGTTTAGGGTTTTTAGGGGGTTAAGGGTTAGGGTTTGGGGAAGCAAGTGCAGGGCAAGCAGCACAAGATGTGTACGGTTTAGGACTTAGGGTTTAGGGTTTAATGCTTACAGCATTTCTTAACTGCTCCACTAGAAACCCCAAACCCTAAACCCTAAACCCCAAACCCTAAACCCTAAACCCTATCCCCTTTCCCGTGTCCCCTCGACCGCCCGCAGTTTGCGTTTTCGCCCGTTTCCAAGCCCTAACCCCGCTCCCCTCTCCCGCAAGCGCCAAGCCCCAAACCCTAAACCCTAAACCCTAAACCCTAAACCCTTGTTTGCAGGTTGGTGCGGCGGTTCTTCTGGGGCTACACGCGGAATAGACACAAGTCCGCGACTTTGACTGCGGGGGCGCATTTGGTGGACTTGGCCTCTGGAGATAAAGAACTGGACTTGAGGCCTCTTTTGTATCCTTCTTTGGAGTGGCAGTTTCGCGAAATGCGGAAGAAATTAGGGTTTAGAGAGGGCGTGTGAGGCGGGGGTGCGAGGGTTTGGACTCCCGAGGGTTTAGGGTTTCAAACCCGCTTTTTCCGAGGGTTTAGGGTTTCCATTTCGCTGTTTTCCGCACTTTTCCACTGTTGCTGCTCTCAACTTTTCTTTATTTCACTTCCTAACGTTCTACTCGCCCCAGAAACCCTGCAAAAACCCCAAACGAGGGTTTAGGGTTTAGGGTTTAGGGTTTAGGGTATGCGGGCAGCGCGCCAATCCGCGCTCCCCACCTCTTGAACGACTCAATATATTATTTATTCATTTATTTTATTAATCCATTATTTATTTATTTATTATTTATTTATTTATTTATTATTCATTCATTATTTATTTATTTATTTTTTTCTTTATTTCATTTTTTGAATTTCCAGAAAATTCAAAATGGGAATTTGACTGTTGGATTTGGGGTGTACGTACACCTGGCGCGCGCTGAAGTGGATTTCGAGAAAAAGAGACTTTTTAATTTTTCGGATTAAATGACTCAAAATGAATTAAAATTTGAGGATTTAAAGGATTTAAATGATTTAAATGACTAAAAAGACTCAAAAGATTCAAAAGACTTCACAAAACATTTCAAAATCTTCAAAAAGGAATTCAAGGACTTCAAAACGCCTCCAAAAAAAGCTAAACCAACAACAAAACAACACCGCGACTCCGCAACACGCAGGAAAATAAAAAGATAAAAAATAAATTGTTTTTAGTACCCTTTAGCGGCCCTTTTGGGGCCCTTCAGAGGCCCATTAGGGGCCCTTTAGGGGCCCATTGGGGCCCCTTTAGAGGCCCTTCAGGGGCCCCCAAAGGGCTCCTAAACGGCCCCCCCTCCAAAGCAACTGAAGGGCCCCCGTGGGGGCCCCTCAGTTGCCTCAAATAACATATTTTGTACCCTAGGGGCCCCCTGGGGGCCCCCAGGGGGGCCCTCTTGAGGGTCCCCTGGGGGGCCCCCTAGAGGTCGCACGGGGGGCCCCCAGGGGGGCCCCCGAAAGGGTACCCTGAGCCCCTTGGGGGGCCCCCAAAAGGAGAGGGGGCCCCCTAGGGTTGGGGGCCCCTTTGCAATTATTTTAAATTAATTTGTGGCATTTAAATTTGATTATTTGCTGTTAGTGCTTTTGTCTTTTGGTTCTTTGCTGTCCGCGGGTTTGTCCCCCTGCTTCTCGTTCGCCTTGCTGCTGCTGCTGCTGCTGCTGCTGCTGCTGCTGCTGCTGCTGCTGCTGCTGCTGCTGCTGCGGTTCGGGGAGGAGACGATCCCAAGAATAAATTCGAAAAGTGCTGCCCACTGTTTGTCTCGAAGTCCCATGCTGCAGTTGACAACAGCAGTTTTGACTCTGTCCTTTTTTTCCGTGAGGCCTAGGAGGGCCGCGAGCTGCTGCTGCTGCTGCTGCTGCTGCTGCTGCGGGGGGGGCCCCTCGG